ATGTTACTATTAAAAATGTCTTCTATTTATCCATTTACTTTGAAGTTTCCTTTTTTATTATTTTATATGTTACTATTAAAAATGTCTTCTATTTATCCATTTACTTTGAAGTTTCCTTTTTTATTATTTTATATGTTACTATTAAAAATGTCTTCCATTTATCCATTTACTTTGAAGTTTCCTATTTTATTATTTTATATGTTACTATTAAAAATGTCTTCCATTTATCCATTTACTTTGAAGTTTCTTTAATCTAGAATTGTGATTTCCATGTTTCATATATTACTATTATAGTATATGTTACTATAGGTTTTCTAATTTTGCGTTTTCTTTACATTTTTAATAAAATTCTGATTATTCTATGTCTTTTTATTTTATATTCTTTTATTTACAAACAAAATAAAGAAAGGGACAATCAAACCTATTTCTCGATTCAATCGAAGCTAAAAGGAGTAATCATGGTTGATATAAGGTCACAAATAATGATAGATATGTAAAAAACAAAACCTCCTTATTCCATTTTAATCCGAAATGGAATGAACTTAGAATCATGGAATTGATTCGCTCATCAGATTATATATAAATTATAACTTCATAACCTTAGCCCATTCCCATTTTTGGTGGAACAGATCCACTAATTCTTTCATTTCAATTAGTAATATAAGAGGTCAATCAATTGTAGAAGCTAAAAAAGAGTATCCTGAGCCATTTTAATAATGGGGTTCATTGATATTCCTAGTATAGTAGATGCTATCATACATAAAATCATACTCACTTCAATGGAATTATTTGATGTTACAGGAGATCTTCTATAATTTCGCACGTGAGGAGTTATTTCTTGGTTTCGTCCAGTCATTAATAACTTAATTATTTTTAGATAATAGTAGATCGAAACAACGCTTGTAAGAAGTCCTATTAAAACCAAGAAATATCGGCCTGCTTGCCATCCACACCAGAATAAAGAAAGTTTTCAGAAAAAACCAGCTAGTGGAGGAAGACCTGCTAAGGATAAGAGACATAGGGCTAAAGAGAGAGCCAAAAAAGGATCTTTCGTGTATAATCCTGCATAATCTTGAATGTTATCAGTTCCGGTACGTAGACTAAATAACACAATGCAAGCAAAAGTTCCTAGATTCGTGGAGATATAGAACAACATATAAGTTATCATGCTTGCATATCCACCATTTGAGTCTCCAACAATTATTCCAATAATTACATATCCGATTTAACCTATGGACGAATAGGCAAGCATACGTTTCATGCTTGTTTGCATAATAGCAATGAGATTCCCTAATACCATGCTAAGAATAGCTAGGATTTCTAGAAGAAGATGCCATTGGTTTGATGAGAAATAAAAAGAAATATCCAAAATTCGAGTGGCTGAAGCTGAAGCAACTACTTTCGAAGTAACAGAAAGAAAAGCAACGACTGGAGTGGGAGAGGCAGAGTCGAAAAGAGCATTCCTCACTTCTTTCTCTCATTCAAAACCGTGCATGAGACTTTCATCTCGGACAGCTCCTAAGTGATAAAAGAAAGAAGAAGATTGTTTCTTCTTTCTTTTAGTATTTCCTTCCTCGCGTATCTATAAGACCGAATCCATTGTATTTGGACTTTTCATCAAACAAAAAAGGATTCGTAATCCTGAACTTTTCGAGGAATCCTTCATCAGTTGTTGTGAATGAATGCGACCTATTATGGGACATACAATGCATTACAAACGTATGATCATTATGCTTGAACTGGCTTATTCGATTCCTTAGAATCGGGTTATTCTATTCCACCTCTTAGTTAGAAAGAAAAGAACTTAAACAATTAATAACATGGCAATACATAAGACTTCGAGCCCGAGCACACGCAATGAAGCCTTAAACAGTCAAGTGAAATCCAATTCACGAAATCGTTTGATTTCTGGACAACATCATTGTTGTAAAGGGCGTAATGCCAGAGGAATTATTACCGCAGGGCATAGAGGGGGAGGTCATAAGCATCTATACCGTAAAATTGATTTTCAACGCAATGAAAAAGACATATATGGTAGAATCATAACTATAGAATATGACCCTAATCGAAATGCACACATTTGTCTCATACACTATGGGGATGGTGAGAAAAGATATATTTTACACCCCAGAGGGGCTATAATTGGAGATACCATTGTTTATGGTACAGAAGTTCCTATAAAAATGGGAAATGCCCTACCTTTGAGTGCGGTTTGAACTATTGATTTACGTAATTGGAAGTAACCAATTAGGTTTATGGTGAAACCTAGAAATCGATCTCTTATCCAATTGGAGTACCTCTACAGGATAGACTTCAACAGAAAACTGAAGAGTAACGGCAGCAAGTGATTGAGTTCAGTAGTTGCTAATATACCATTATTGACCCTAGAGATATAGTAATACGGAGAAGACAAAATTGTTTCAAGCACCGACAGAACACGAAGCGCTCCTCGTTTCAAACAAATAAGGGGAAGACCCGGATTATTCACATTTCGCATGTGTAAACGAGGTGCTCTACCTAACTGAGCTATAGCCCTTGTGCTTTTGATACAGATTTGATCATATTCGATAAATAAATTCTTGTCAAGATAAATATTAAATTACATGATCCAATCTCTTTGATTTATATTGCGTTTGTATTATTTATAAATAATATAACATTTATAATCCATTGATCTGATCGAGAGCTACTTTTTTTATTTAGGATGATAAATGACCTACTTAACTCAGTGGTTAGAGTATTGCTTTCATACGGCAGGAGTCATTGGTTCAAACCCAATAGTAGGTAAGGTATTAGTAGAACTTAGTAGATACCATTGATTCCGGTATCTAATAAGTTTTTCTACTCACCATTTTTTTTTATTGTAACTTTCTATCTTTTTTCTATTTTTTGGCTGCACCAACTTGTTACGAGATCCTCTTGATAGGCTCTACGATAGCCTCGACTCGTGTCTTAGCTCGCCGGAGAGCTAGATTTGCTTCAATTGTTTGTCTCTTGCCTTCAGCCTTATTTAAGTTAGCTTCTACTATTTTAAGAGTTTGTTGTGCTTCTTGTGGATTAATGTCACTAGCCCTTTCTGCATCAGGTACTAAAATAGTGATCTCATTATTGCCGATTCTAGCAAAACCACCCATCAGAGCCATCGTTAACCATCGGTCCTTAAGGCGTATTCTCAAAATACCTATATCTAAAGTTGTGGCAATAGGCACATGATTTTTTAATACCCCAATTTGTCCACTATTAGTAGATAAAATAATTTCTTTCACTTCTGAATCCCAAACAATTCGATTGGGGGTCAGTACACAAAGATGGAAAGTTATTTCTTGAATTTGTTCTCCATTTCTAAGTTATGTTCGTAGCCTTCGCAGTAGCTTCATCGATATTACCCACCAAATAAAAGGCTTATTCAGGAAGACTATCTAATTCTCCAGAAAGAATCAATTGAAATCCTCTAATTGTTTCTGCGAGACCAACATATTTCCCTGGGGAACCAGTAAATACTTCTGCTACGAAAAAAGGTTGTGATAAGAAACGTTCCATTTTTCGTGCTCTTGCTACAGTTAAGCGATCCTCTTCGGATACTTCTTCCAACCCAAGAATAAATAAAGCTCATGTCCTCCGGATTCTTTCATTTCCATATAAAGATCATTTCCCTCACGGGTACGCTCACCTACTCTGCCAAATACAGATACACCTCCATGAGCTTTGGCAATGTTATTGATCAATTCCATAATGAGTACTGTTTTACCTACCCCAGCTCCACCGAAAAGTCCTATTTTTCTGCCACGGCGATAAGGAGCTAAAAGATCGACTACTTTAATTCTTGTTTCAAAAATGGATAATTATGTATCTAACTGTATAAAGGCAGGCACAGATCTATGAATAGGAGATGTTGTGCGAGTATCTACAGGACCCAAATTATCTATGGGTTCTCCAAGCACGTTGAAAATTCGACCTAGGGTTGCTCCGCCGACTGGAACACTTAGAGCATCTCCTGTGTCAATCACTTCCATTCCTCTCTTTAGACCATCTAAAGCACTCATAGCTACAGCTCTAGCTCGATTATTTCCTAATAATCGTTGTACTTCACAAGTTACGCGAATTTGTTGGCCAACCGTATCTCGACCTTGAACTATCAGAGCATTGTAAATATAAGGCATCTTCCCTGGTGGAAAAACTATATCGAGTACCGGACCGATTATTTGCGTAATACGCCCCAGATTTTTGTTTTCAAGTGCAGAAACCTCGGTATCAGAAGGGGGAGGATTTATTGTCATATTGAAAAATATCCTTTTTTTTTTCAAAAAAAAAATTCAAATTAAGAAAAAAATGTTCGAGAACAACGCAAGTGGATTGGTTCATTATTTGAATATTTAATAACAAATGAAATGTATTAATTCATATTTAATAAAATATTTAATATTTAATAATAAAAAAATATGGAATAATAAATGTAATTTAATAATCGATTTTCACCGTCCAATCAATTCAATTGTTTTCAATTTTCAATGATTTAATTTTTAAGGTCAACCCAGTGATCCAGATTGTAGACAAGATTATCTATATTATCTATGGAATTCCAACCTGAACTTTGTTTATGATTCTGTTTTTCTATCTCATTGGTCCTTATTTTTTATTTCCTCAGCATAGGATTTATACTGAGCATATTATTTCTTTTTACCGATTTTTCTTTTTATTGGGCAAATTCTGCCGATTTTGACATCTAGGATTTACATATACAACATATATCACTGTCAAGGTCAAGAGTATATTTTTTATTTACTATTTAGATTCGAAAATTATATTCCAAAATTCAAAAAAAAAAAAAAAAGAGATTTGAAAAAAACGGTTGGGTTGCGCCATACATATGAAAGAGTATAGAATAATGATGTATTTGCCAAATTAAATATCATGGTAAAATTTAACAATGACCCATTCGGATTAATTGATAATATTAGTTGATGGATTATTTGTAAAAAGGTTTGATTAACTCTTAAGTTATGTCGAGTAGACCTTGTTGTTGCTATAATTCAATTCTTAATTCATGCGTTGTGGGGGGGGGGGGGGGGGGATTTATGTCACTACAAATAGAAACTAAAGCAAAGGTTGGGTTCAAAGCTGGTGTTAAAGATTATAAATTGACTTATTATACTCCTAACTATCAAACCAAAGATACTGATATCTTGGCAGCATTCCGAGTAACTCCTCAACCTGGAGTTCCGCCTGAAGAAGCAGGTGCAGCGGTAGCTGCAGAATCTTCCATTGGTACATGGACAACTGTGTGGACCGATGGACTTACCAGCCTTGATCGTTATAAAGGATGCTGCTACGAGATCGAGCCTGTTCCTGGAGAAGATAATCAACTTATTGCTTATGTAGCTTATCCCTTAGACCTTTTTGAAGAAGGTTCTGTTACTAACATGTGTACCTCCATTGTAGGTAATGTATTTGGGTTCAAGGCCTTGCGCGCTCTACATCTGGAATATTTGCGAATCCCTAATGCTTATGTTAAAACTTTCCAAGGTCCTCCTCACGGAATCCAAGTTGAGAGAGATAAATTGAACAAGTATGGACGTCCCTGTTGCACCCTAAAATTTGCTCAACCTAATTCACTTGGTTTATGTTTCAATATCATTAGCATTTGCATATAGAGTCATGTACATAATCTAATCATCTGCATAGCATAGCATAACAAATCATCCAACAAGGGACCAAGTATTATTCTCATCCCTATGAGCCTATCAAGAGGATATTATTCTAATTCAATCTCATTCAAGTCATCAGGAAGAATTTGAAAGCTAAGAAGTCAATGGATCAAGCAGTGAATCTATCTCCTATCTGAAGGTATCTGAAGATCATGTGAGCTGTGAATAGAGCTGAGCATGGAGAGTGTCTAGACATTGTGGGAGACTTAGAAAGTCATTTGGAGAAGGAGACAATTCATTGACATGGTCACAAGAGTTGCAGTTGAAGACAATCAACTAGGGTTTCATCTGGGGTCAACTCTAGGTCAACTCTAGGTCAATTGACTGATTGAAAGGCATTAAGGTCTATTGGAGAGATGTGGGGTTCATCATTTGACATGTAGAAGAGGATATGGTGATATTCCAAGAAGAATTCAAGAGAAATCAAGGAGAAGAGGAGTTTCTAAATTAGGGTTTCTGTGTAAAATCCCCTAGTTTAGGTCACATTTCCAAGCAAGATAAGTCAAAATGCAAGCTTCAAATGGATCCTTGGCCAACATGAAACTTGTAGAGGATCTCAATACCTTTAATTTGAGTGGTGGAAGACATCAAGGAGATTTATATAACTCAAGTTATGGTCCTTACAAGTTACAGGTTATCTGAGGTATCTGAAATTTTGTCTGTGAAAGTGACTTGACTTCCAAGCAATTTTTACCCCTCAAGGAGATTTCAAATGAATTTCTGGAAAACATAAGAATTGTTCCTCATTGTCTTATCTTTCTAGAATGGTATAGTATGCCTTCATATGATTTGTGGAACTCTACTTATGGTCTTGGAAAGCAAAGGGTATTTTGGTCATCTGAGGATTACAGGTCATTCTTAGCCTATGCCTAAAACTCATACAAGGAAGCTTCAAATGGGAAACTTCACAACATAAAAGTTTCTCAAAATGCCATTTTAAGTCTAGAAAAGAAGTCATGGAAGTTTGGAAATGCATGGAATGAGACTTGGCCAAAGTTAGTGAAAAATGACCTAAAAAAGGCATATAAGTTGAAAAAGTTGAAATGAAAAATTGGTTTGAGAGATATACAAATCCAATATGGGTCATCCAATATACCAATTTGATTCCAAATATCATTTTAAAGACATTGGTTCAGCCACTTATTTGAGTTAGGGTTTAAAAATTGTACTTGCTTTGTAATATTGTTTCTTGCATCATAAGGCAACTTGGTAAAACTCAACACAAGGCAAGGAAAGGCTTGGCTTTTTCACATACACCTCCAATATCTCATGAAAGGAGATTTTAACACAAGTTTAAAAAGGTGCAAGCATGAGATAAGAGATATTCAACATGTCATCACATGAGAAGTTCATGAATTTTCCACCACTTTCTAGAATCCTCTAGGATCAATCTAGAAACTTCTCAATCTGTTAATAATCATCTGTATATTGAGAGTAAATCATTGGTGCAAGGGGTTGTTGAGAAGAGGGAGAGAATAGAGAGAATTAAGAGATTGCTTACATTGTAAGAAAGTGTAAGAATCTTCAATCTACACCATTTCTGATCATTTCTTTTCTTCATCCATCATCCATTGAAGTTTGTGAGTGGGAACAAGCAAGGTCAGAGGTCCAACAATGGAGGATTGAAGAGTTAGAGTTGTCATTGCAAGAATCCATATCAGAATTGTAGCCATCACCACAAGCATTTTTCTCCCTACTTTTTGCAAACAGAAACCCTAGCATCATCTAAAGATCATTGATGAAAGCTTACAAGTGTTGAATCGAGCTCCTTCTCATCTATTTCAGCAAGAATAGCAGGTTGGTGTTTTCTTTCATATCTCCATAACTAGGTGTTGCTAGGTTAGATTATTGGTATAAGATTGTTAGGGTTAGGTAGAGGAGCATTTACCCCATCTGTTATGGCCATTAGAGACAATTGGATTAATGGTGATGAAACTTTGATGATCAAGAACTCCTGAATTAGGGCAAGAGAATGCTAGATTTTTGGCTCAGAATACTCAGCGTAGTCCATAGATTGTTCTAGGGTAGTTTGAGCAAGTTTGATGATCATGCACATCAGGTGCAATTTAGTGGTGTCCAAGACTTCAAGCTATCGGGTTTAAGCATAAAGGGGGTTTCAGGAAAATCTAAGTGTGGGATCTTGTAGAGGGCTTTGAGTAGGCCAATTTTGGTTTTAAGATCGAAGGATTTGGTGGACTATGGAGAGAGAACGAAAAGCATGAAGATTCCTGCATGGACATGAATTTCTGAGTTCTAGGGTTTGGTTTGGGGACGATGAGGGATAACCGTCCGATCATCCTGGTTATTTGACATTTTCATCGCATCGTGTGGCTAATATTCAATTTAAGAAACGGAGGGAAAGACCAAAGTGAAACGCAGCGTTTCACTTAAACGCGCGTCTGGGCTGGGTCCAACAATTCCTATCCCCACCCCCATTTTGAGAAGCCCAATAAAATACGCATGATATTGCTGCTATCCACACCGAGGATTTATTCTTTTTCTGGCATTTTTTTCATTTGATTTTTCTGAGCGTGTTGGGCTTAATGTTATTGATATTCACACCCCTGGTTCATGGCCCACCTGGAATTTTAACTGGGCGAGCTTGCTATTCAGACCCCCCTCCCCATTTTATTTCTATTTTGTGTTTTTAATTCCTTTAATATTTTTGTCATCTTTAAAAAATCATAAAAAAATGAAAATAGCTTAGTTTTAATTGGTTCTTTTTTCTATAGGTCTATAGTTCTGTCTAGAAAAATACCAAATAATAAAATTGACATTTTATTTTGTTTTACTATTTTTTGTGTATTTTTCTTGTAAATAGCATTTTATTAAGTTTAGTTTGATACTTAAGCTTGTTGATTTTTGTTCTAATAGTTCCCTTTAGCTTTAGAGCTCATTCTTTTTAGGTTGATTAGTTTAGGACTTCAACTTGAATATAAGATTTAATTCACAATTTTAGAAATTAATTTTAGGAGACTTGTGTAGGTGTGAACAACATGAACAAAACTAGGGTTTTGGTGACAACATAGGTGAATAAGTCCATTTCCCTTAGGAGTTAGAGATTGAATTTTTGGGGTATGGGACTATAGGGATTAGGGGTAGTTATTAGATCCCTTAGAAAATGTTAGGATTCCCCTACTGCTATTAGTATTGTCTGTATTTGCTTGACTGGTGTGGTGTGCCCTCTCTGGGGATTATAAATTGTCTGTGTGGGTATTGGGTTTGTTTGGGATTTGGGGAGAGCTGGAGACCTGAGATGATGAAGCCCATTTGAAGATCAGAGACTGAAGACCAACTTCCAGAGTTGATGAGGAGATTCTGTGCTGGCAGCTGTTGAAGTTGGTAGTATCTAGGAGTTAGGCAGAGCCCTAGAGTAGTCAACTTGATTCTCAAACATGGAAGGTCTTGACTGCCTCCATTCTTCTCTGTGATGCAGAGTCTCTCTAAGACATTCACCCCCTTCCCTTAGAAGGCTTGGTGCTACTGTCTAAGGGATAGAACTCTTGAGAGAAAATATCTTATGTGTTAGTAGCAGTTTGTTTGCCACCCTTGGTAGTCAACTAATTGCTTAAACACCCAATTCACTCTTGTGGTTGATCCCTCATCCTGGAGGTTTGAGACTTGAAGAAAGGCCATTGTAGACTGAAGATTGATGACAAAGACCTTGCTTGAAGGCTGTGGAGATGGAGATTGATGCTTGCCAAAGCTTGTAGCTGATTGGAGATGACTTGAAGATAGGTGTTGATGCAGAGCTGTTGTGGGTGTTTATTTTTGCTGTTTATCATTTCTGATGTATTGATTGGTTTCCTGGACTGTATTGCTTGCTGTTTAACCTGGTTGGGTTGAAAGTGAATCCTGTTCACTTTTGCCTATTGTTTTCTAGGTTCGAGGTTGAGTGGGACTCCCTTGCCTCGCTTGTATTGTTGCATCCATGCATTTTACTGCTGTATATATCTGCTATTGCTTCTGTTTCCGTTTATTCCCTTAGGATCTCTGTTTCTCTCTGTGCAAGAGAGGAGCATGATAGACATTAGGTCTTAACCCATGCATGATAACATTAGGTTAGTCTGATTCCCTTTGCAACCGTAGGTTAGAGTTCTGTCTCTTCTTTCTCAAAACAAACAGAAAAATACAATAAGATTTCAAACACAATAAAAGACACTTCTTCCGTAAAAGAATGTGAACTCATCAAGACGTCATTTTTGTCCGCTTGGACCAGTAATCAGAAAAACCCTTTTTCAGAAGGAATAAAAACAATCAAGACAGACTTGTGTCGTACGTGGCCCGAACTACGTTTGCTCTGATCTTTCATGCTGTGTGGAAGTACGTAGGCATAGGATGCGATATCCTAGCGAGCAACCTTCCCTTCCTTTCCCGTAGGTAGGCGAACTACGTTGACTCTGATTTCTCGTTCCAGACGAGAATACGTAGGCATAAAGTGCGATACTTTGCCGAGTCATTTTCTTTTCTTTTAACCCCTGACCTATAGAGTAGATAGAATAACAATCCATACCCGAAAACAAGCGTGGATCCCGTCGAGTACGACGGACGTGAGGGGTGCTAATACCTTCCCCTTGCGTAACCGACTCCCGAATCCAGGTTTTGGTTGCGACGACCATACCTTTTCCCGTGTTGTGCGAGGTTTACTCTGAGCGTTTCCTTTCCCTCCCGTGGGATAAATAACGCGCGGTGGCGACTCTTCTGTTCAATCGGCGCCGATTTTCGCAGTAGCGACAGCTGGCGACTCTGCTGGGGATCCAACGTCCCCTGGCTGCTAAGGACTGTGATAGTTCTTATGCATTTGGGATCCAATGTCCCTTAAGAGAGTCAATCCTAACGCTTGTTTTCCCGTCGAGGATTTTGTATGGATTTATATTTCTGACCTTTACTTTCAGCATATTATTATTTGGGGGTTGTGATGGGTGTTCTGATATTGAGTGAGAAGC